AAGACAGAAAAAAATGTGTTTTGTAATGGATTAAATGACAAAATCACAACAAAATTACTAAAAAATTAACTAAAATTTAAATGGAGACTGAAAATATAACATAAAAGCTCATTCAAAATATGAATATATATACTGTAATAGTAAGTAAATAATACTAAAATAACTCATAATATATGAAACTTTCTGAACATACAGTAACATGAACAATACAAGTTAAGCTCAGCTGATTATGACTTTGACTCATCCCTCAGTTTGTGTATTCTATGTATAATATATCAATAATATCTATTATTACAAATAATATATATCAATTATTTTTAGATTACTGTAATGAGAATTTGGGTAATACGTGCTTCATGAAAATAATCTTCTTTCGTTATACAAAATCAAATTTTTTCCTTTTGGTTTTGAGATGAAATATGATCTGGACATGTTCTTATGAGTTCAGTTTGCTGTCCCACCCGAACGAAAGGGATTCCCCTCCGTCTCTGGGAACGCTGATCTCTGGGGTCTCTCTGGTGGGACGGACCTCTTTTCTCTCCCACATCTGTTGAGCTGAAAGCGAGGCCAGCTGAGAGCAGTTCAACAGGTCTGCCGTCCCTGCTGAGGGCAAACGCAACCCCTCTGTGCTCTGGAATGTGCCGGGCCCCGTCGCCTCCCCGTCTCTCCACACCAACCCTCTGTGACGCTGAGAGAGAGAGAGAAAGAGAGAGAGAACGAAAGCAGGGGAAAAGATTTAAAGCAACAGTACACCCAAACAGTACTGCAGTACCACATTCAGTAGGGTTTGGACCAACAATGACATCAGAACTTCTCCTTTAAAGGAATAGTTCAGCCAAAAATGAAAATGTGCTTAATATTTCCTCACCCTCAGGCCATTCAAAATGTAGATGAGTTTGTTTCTTCATCAGATTTGGAGAAATGTAGCATTGCATCACTTGCTCTGCAGTGAATGGGTGCCGTCAGAATGAGAGTCCAAACAGCTGATAAAAACATCACAAGTAATCCACTCCACTCCAGTCCATCAGTTAATGTCTTGTGAGGCCGAAATATGCGTGTTTGTAAGAAGCAAATCCATCATTAAGGTGTTTTAACATCAAACTGTTTGTTTTCTCATCTCATCAGAATCAGGATGGATATATGCACAGATCAAGCAGAGATTACAAGCAAAAACAGCTCTAAACAAATATGCGTGTGGATTTTGATGTGAGAGACAACAGGAGATGGGGTTTTCACTGGAGGAAGCATTATTGTGGATTCATATTTTAGCCAGAAGTGACGGTTTAAAATTAAAAACGTCTTAATGATAGATTTGTTTCAGCTTTTGTCTTCTCCAGATGTTAACAGATGGACTGGAGTGGTGTGGATTACTTGTGGATTATTGTGATGTTTTTATCAGCTGTTTGGACTCTTATTCTAACGGCACCCATTTCTCCAAATCTGATGATGAAGAAACAAACTCATCTACATCTCGGATGAACTGAGGGTGGGGACATTTTCAGCAAATTTTCATTTTTGGCTGAAATATTCCTTTCACGTATAAGACAAAAGTCCAGCACATGTGTGTTGAGGAATGCACGCAGCTGTAGCAAACGGTTCGACTTAAAGTTCAAGGCCAGTCAAGAGTCAGTTCAGACTCACAGTAAGAGAAAAGCAGGGTGCGTACATCTGTGAAAGTTAGCAGATGCACCGTCCTGACGGACTGTTCACTAAAATGATTCATTCCTTTACAGCGTGAAGTCATTTCACATATCAGTGAAGCTCAGCTGCTGTTCATTTGCGAGCGTATGTTAGCTGTCTAACACTAAGGCTAAACCTAAGTGTGAATAACTTTATACTGTCACTTTCAAATTGATTCATGCATCCATGATGCACAAAGACATACTTCAGATAGTAACACAACAAAATCAACAGATAACTCAGTCAGAGCAGCATGAGTTTGCTTTCAGATTCTGTTATATTAAAGACATGAATTAAGTTGAAAGAAAAAGGGTATGTTAGCTGTCTAACACTAAGGCTAAACCTAAGTGTGAATAACTTTATACTGTCACTTTCAAAAGGGGTTTTGGAAATTGATTCATGCATCCATGATGCACAAAGACATACTTCAGATAGTAACACAACAAAATCAACAGATAACTCAGTCAGAGCAGCATGAGTTTGCTTTCAGATTCTGTTATATTAAAGACATGAATTAAGTTGAAAGAAAACTGACCACACGAGTAAACAATGTACAACACAATACAAGATTAACTCTAAATGATACATGGCTCTAAAAGTGAAACTAAGTTACTGTTAGGCATAATGTACAAAAATGTTATTTTAGTATTATTTATATACTATTAGTATTACACTATATATTCATATTTTGAATTAGCTTTTTTTTTACATTTTAATTTAACATTTAAATTTTTATTTTTTTGTGTCATGGTATTCGTTTTTTAATATTTCTATTTAGCCTTAATTTATTTTCATTTCAGGTTTAGTTTTTTTTTCTTTTTGTATTTTCTAGATCGTTTAGTAATTTTAGCACTTCGGCTATTTTAATTAGTTGCCAAGGCATCATTTCTCATTTTCATTAGTTTTTCATTTATATACTTATTTACTTATATTTTAATTTATTTAAATGATTGTTTATAGTTTTAGTTTACAATAACAACATTGGCACTTTTTATTGATTAATATCATAGAAAACTTAGTTTAGCATTTTACTTTGAAAGTTTTAGTTATTTTGTAGTGATTTCTATTTAGCCTTAATTTATTTTTATTTCAGTTCTATTTATTTATTTTCTTTAGTAATTTTAGTACTTCAACTTTTCAAATTTTATTTTGGTTTAGTGAGTTGCCAAAGCATTTCTATTTAAGTTTTTCATCTAATATTACAATTACAAATATTATTTCAATTACCAAAAATGATTTAACAGTTTTAATTTTACTTAACAATAACAACACTGTCAGTTTTTATTGATTAATATCATATAAACCATAAAGATAAGTTCCACACTTTCATATAACTTATGCGCATATGGATTATGGATTATTTCTATGATACTTATTGTGCATTAATTGTGTTTTTGGAACTGGTCATTGTGGGTTTTTATTGTATGGGAAAGAGATATTCTTTAAATGGGTCATATGATGTTGCTAAACTCCAAAGAGAAAGGAAAAATTGAAATCGCATCATATGACCCCTTTTTAAACATTTCCTGTTTTACGACAGACAGAAACACGAGGGTGAGTAAATGATGACAGACTGTTGAATTTTTTGATATTTTGACAATGAAAAAGTCTCACCTTTCCTATGTAGGGCTGGTCGTGTAATCTTCAACAATCATTCAGGTTTATGAAAATCATGGAGTTTTTCTGATTGGTCAAGTGAACTTAGAGCAGGAACTGCAAACAATTAAAAAGCCATGTTTCATAAAAAAAGGGGCGGATGTCATATTTTATATATCAGCCAACAAACGCACCGATTCCAGTGGCTGCGGGTCTGTTGGTCTCTCGTTCTCTGACTGAAGCGCCTCTGATCGCCTGGAAATCACTTCTCTGAGTGCTGGCTTTACTGTAAAATGCTTTCACGGGAAGATCTTCTTTAGGACTGTTTGACCACCAGTTAAACTAGCAAAAGGCACAAAATGACCAAAATTTATGAGATAATTATATTATAACTATATGTACAATATACACAGTGTAAAGTCACTTTAGTTCACTAAATGATCTAATGAAATCTCCCGAAGATTACTTTCTTGATTACTTAATCTCACATAGATTACATTTGGGAATTAATATTCCCATAAATATATTTTTATGTATAACTATATATAGTCTTTTGACTACAAAAGTAAAAAAACAACAACAACTATTGAACATTTCCACTGTTTGGTCAGGAAATATATACAGTATTAAGGTAATACATTTTTATATAAAAATAATTTACATTTAATTTTACTTTGAATAAAATTTAATACAAATTTAAATATACACAGTTATAAAATGTTATAAATTTAATTATTTTAATAATAATAAATAATAATAATTAATTTATTATTACATTTAATTAAATGTAATACATTTATATAAATCAATGCTTATTTAATTAATGCTTTAAAATGTAGATAAATAAAATTAACATTAAAAATTAAAATTAATAAATCATTTTAAAATTTAAAAACAGACTCACTTAAAACTGTTTAAATGCACATTTTACAAAGAAATTTGCAATTGGCAAATGTGATTTATGATTAATTCATGATACAATTTTTTTTATTAAAAGTGATTTATTAATTTATTGTCTTTTTGTTTTAACTACATTTTAAAACATGAATTAAATAAACAGTTTAAAATATGTTTATTAAATTGTCCAATTAAAAAGTGATTTATCAATTTAGTATATTTATTTATCAAGTTATTTTTATGTTTGTATTATTAAATTGAAAAAAAAAAACTGTCACTCCTACTCCTTCAAAATTATTGACTTTTTAGCTAAATTTAAATAAATATAAAATAAAATAGATCATCAATAAAATAGCATACATACAGGAAAATGTCACATTCAAGCATATCAAACAATTGTTTTGGCAAACACAAAATTAATTTATTCGTATAACTGGATTCTCGACTTTTTCCTGGTCTCCCCAAATCATAATATTTCCCATTAATATGCCTATATAAATAGCATTTCCACCTGTTCTGTCTCAGTACGTCTCGTCTCCATATGAGCGATGGGCTCATTAAGGAATCTAACATTAGTTCTGATGAATCTGGCGTTGTGAGGATGTGGGACGTTGCGGGTCTCAGACTCTCGTGGGTCTCTTGCAGGATATTTATGGTTCTGATCGACACGGACCGGATCGAGACGCTCTGGCAACGTCTCATCAAAGATCCTGAAGGTGTTCGAACTGCAGATACAGAAGACAGAGACGGTTAAAATGCTCAAATGTAGGTCTGTAATGAGAGTATTGAGGAAAGTAGGGCACGTTTGAACAAATACTCACTGGAAAGACTCCCAAACCTTCTTTTTTCGAGGCAGACATTTTTCTGCATAATGGTACATTTGCTTTTCCATTGAATAGTGAATGAAGAGGCTTCAGTGCTGTTAGTGACAGCTTGAGTTTTTAAAGGTTGCCATGCAACAGTGACGATATGAAATCTGACACCCACTCAAAAGAGCTGCTACTATAAAACACAATAATGCGTTAGGAAAACAACACAACAGAATAGCAATTATGCAATCTATTTATATAAGAGATTAAATCTTTTTGGTAACATAAAAGCACCATTGCATGTCACATTTGTTTAGAAGAGTTGCCATAGTTATACCATTGTGTTAAAAAAACAGTATGTTTTTAAAAACAAATACTGAGCAAGGCTGCATTTATTTGAACATAAATACAGTAAAAAATTTGAAATATTATTACAATTTAAAAGAACTGTTTTCTATGTGAATATCTATTAAACTGTAATTTATTTCTGTGATCAAAGCTGAATTTTCAGCATCATTACTCCAGTCTTCAGTGTCACTTGATCTTCAGAAATCATTCTAATATGATGATTTGCTGCTCAAGAAACATTTCTGATTATTATCAATGTTGAAAACAGTTGTGCTGCTTCATATTTTTGCGGAAACTGTGATGCATTTTATTTTTTATGATTCTTTGATGAAAAGAAAGTTCAAAAGAACAGCATTTATTTGAAATAGAAATCTTTTGTAACACTATAAATGTCTTTACTGCCACTTTTGATCAATTGAATGCATCCTTGCTGAATAATAATAATATTAATTTCTTGAAAAAAAAAAATACTCCAAACTCTTTATGCAGGAAAAAAAGCATCTATAAAGCAGACCATGACTCGTGTGCTTTCATGGTGACCAGACCTGAAGTGAGAACATGTGTTTCCAGAATCACAATTTATCCACAACCAAGAAAACACATCAGTGGAAAACTGAAAACAAACTGGTTTCCTGTGTTCTTTCACTACTTGCTGTCTGTTATTGGCTCCCTGCGTCAATCTGACATGTAATGTGGTTAAACGGAGACATAAATAGAAACACAAACACAGGCACATTTATCCATCAGTTAAATTACTATAAATTACTATATATATAGTAATACATACATATCGTTTTATATATGTGTGTGTGTGTGTATATATACACACACACACACATATATAAAACGATACCTGTGTTCTTTCACTACTTCCTGTCTGTTATTGGCTCCCTGCGTCAATCTGACATGTAATGTGGTTAAACGGAGACATAAATAGAAACACAAACACAGGCACATTTATCCATCAGTTAAATTACTATAAATTACTATATATATAGTAATACATACATATCGTTTTATATATGTGTGTGTGTGTGTATATATACACACACACACACACACACACATTCACACATTAGCCTAATTCTGACTATCAAAAACAAGCATGAACATTTACAAACAACACAAAAGCATTGTGGGGATTTTAAGTTAAAGGGAAAGTCAGATTGAACGTTTAGCGGGTTAACTTTAAATATGTTAAAAGACCTCAGATAAGCACGCTTACAGACCAGGACGGTCAGGAAACCCTGATCCAATCAATCAAACCCTGAGTCCATTAGAGCACTGAGTGACCATCACAATCGAACGCTCCACTAATGATTCAATAACTAAACTACTATTAGTGTCACTTAAAGGAATAGTTCACCCAACAATGAAAATGTGCTGAATAGATCCTCACCCTCAGACTATTCCAGAAGTAGATGAGTTTGTTTCTTCATCAGATTTGGAGAAATGTAGCATTGCATCACTTGCTCAGCAATGGATCCTCTGCAGTGAATGGGTGCCGTCAGAATGAGAGTCCAAACAGCTGATAAAAACATCACAATAATCCACAAGTAATCCACACCACTCCAGTCCATCAGTTAATGTCTCGTTGCTTCCGGCTAAAATACTTCTAGACAAAAAGTGATGTTTTTATCAGCTGTTTGGACTCTCATTCTGACGGCACCCATTCACTGCAGAGGATCCATTGCTGAGCAAGTGATGCAATGCTACATTTCTCCAAATCTGATGAAGAAACAAACTCATCTACATCTTGGATGACCTGAGGGTGAGGACATTCACAGCAAATTGTAATTTTTGGGTGAACTGTTCCTTTAAGTTTCTGCCGTCTTTTGCTGGAGAGTCGCGGCTGTGACACAATGCTTTCGGGAAACACAGAGACGGATCTCAAACAAAGAATCCGTCACATTCCCTCAGAGGCCCGGACCTGGGCTCTTTATCTAATAGATATTACGATTTCATACTGATTCCAGATCAACTGCTCCTGCTCTCTTAAAACACCAAAGACTCAGATTTGCACACAGCAAACTGTTCCCAGTTCAGTCTGAAAGCAGTCCGTCTATTCAAAGACACACTAAGCCTCGATAAGCCTCTGATCTAATCTTGCAACTGTCAGCTAAGAGGATTCCAGCCTCCCGAACCAGCACACATGCAGATCTGCTAAAGCATGCTGGGAGAAAAAGGACACCCTGGGGATGCTGTATGTGTGTCTCTGGGTCAACATGGACAATCTGGGAGAGTTTGAGCTCAATTCTAAAGACATTATTATTAAACAATCATTACAAACGCAGTTCTGATGGACGCAGACACTGATGTTGCACAAAAGTGACACGCGCTGATGTCTGATACAGACGCCACCTTAACAGAGCTGTGTGAGGGCGGCCAGGGTTTCCATGGAAACAGAACTGTGATGAGTGTAACGCAGGCTGTGATTGGTCAATTATGCATAAAGTGAACATCTCCTGAAAGAGGCTCATGCTGTAGAATCAGAGGACGTCTAATATTCATACTACAGCCATACTCATTGAACAAGCTGTCAAAATGTATCATTTGCAATAAAACAATGAGTTCAGTGTTTTTGTGTTTTAATAGAGGTTTATTAGTTTGATTAAACTGCACATCAAAATAGCTGTTGTGGACATATAGAAGTCTCTTCTGCTCACCAAGTCTGCATTTATTTGAACCAAAATACAGTAAAAATTTTAAAATATTATTAGAATTCAAAATAAGTGTTTTCTATGTGAATATATAGTAAAATGTAATTTATTCCTGTGATGCAAAGCTGAATTTTCAGCATCAGTCTTCAGTGTCACATGATCTTCAGAAATCATTCTAATATGCTGATTTGCTGCTCAAGAAACAGTTCTGATTATTATCAATGTTGAAAACAGTTAATATTTTTGTGGAAACTGTGATACATTTTATTTTTCAGGATTCACAGTTGAATAGAAAGTTCAAAAGAACAGTATTTATTTGAAATTATAAATGCCTTTACTGTCACTTTTTATTTGATACTGTCACAATATAATGTGTGCTTGATGATAAAAGTATTAATTTCTTTTTGATAATCATAAGAAATGATTCTTGAGCAGCAAATCAGCATTTTAGAATGATTTCTGAAGGATCGTGTGACACTGAAGACTGGAGTAAT